CATAATGATTGTTTTCATGAACTGTCATAATCTCCATCATAGTAGCTTGCAAAGTTAAAAATAAACTCTTACTTGGAGCATACATAGAATATATCTTTCGAATAACATCAATAAATTCCTTTATTATTTTAAGAGCCTTTTCATGTTATAAGGATTGAATGGTAGTGGGAACTCGAGATTTAAAATATTCAAGAGAATTTGGAGATTGACACATTAATTATATATCAAAACTATCCATCCTTGAAACTTTTAGAAATTCCCCATCATTCATATGTATACAAGGTTTCGTATTGACCTATTAAATGTATATTACATTCCCTAATATTTGTCTTGACCATTCTGCCCTAATTATAAAAAGCACCTTGTTAATTAAAAAGGACTTGTAGACATTTTTGGTAACTAATAATATTGCTTTTATTTCCATAATGCCAATCGAATGATTTTTGCTTAATCTCTTTATAGACTCTTTAAAACTAAATAACTAACAACTAATTTCACCATCCCTCAAAAGTTTAAATTCCAGTTATTAGTAGTACGTAGTTTTTATACTTATAAACCAATTACATTCACAGTTTCATCCCAATATAGGATTTAGGTGTTGATTTGATATATTACAATCTTTCCCATTAACACGTAATCCTAATAATCAATAGAGGCCTACACTTGTGAGAAGTGATCTTTTTGATACCAATTAAAACAACTTGAGTCAAAACCCACCATTGGCCTAACAACTTTTTAAGTTACGGTCCATGGACTCTTAAAAGTTTAAGTTTTTAGTAGTGGTTGGTCGTCACACTCATATACTAATCACATTTAGAGTTTCATCTTAATGTAGGTTTGGGGACATTATAAGATGTGAGGTAGATCTTTTGTAATTGTTGAGTCATGTTAAACCACTTCTGATCAATATGAATAATGTTGTACAACCCTTTACACTTTGGATTGTTAGGAAAATTACAAGAGTTGAACATGTCTAAACCAAAATGCAATCTAGCCTTCATGTTTCCTTCTATCAATGTTGATTTTATATGGTTGATTGTTCTTTTGATATGATTTCCTTAACGATTGAACACTATTCCTATAGACAAATGCATTTTTGTAGTTAGTCTCTTAAATAATCAAGATCAATTTCTTTTTCTTTTTTTTTTTATGACCAATATGTTTTCCTTTTTTGTTGTGAGAGCATTTACAACTCCACCATGCATGATAGATTCTTTTGCTCATTGCCAAATATATTGAATTAACCAAGGAAACACTTTAAAAAGCTCACTAGCTCCCTTTTGTTTTTTGTTTTTGTAACTTTCCATTAGCACTCACTTTCAATAAAACTTCATATATTTATTAACGTTTTTCATTTGTTACTTAGTTGGATGTTCATTCATCGGACTAACATTAAGATTAAGCAATAAGGCTGCTCTTGATCTCTTCTTGAAAAAAATCTATATTAAAACAATAACCTCTATTTTTTAGTTATAACTAATAAAATAAATCTTGACAAATTAAAAGATGAAAAGTATGCAGTATATTAAATGTTGACTAAGTCTTAATCAAATTCTTAAAATTAAAAGATACTAAATGTTAACTTAGTCCTACAATTTCTCACCATCAAACAACCATATATTTAGATTATCAAGATCAAGTAAGAACAGATGTAGACCCATACCTAAATTTACTTGAATTTAATAATTAGCAATTAAAGAAAACAATCTAAAAGTGAGTTTACCTATATTTATTTCATTGAATTGATTTAATCTAACCTAAAGAGGAGATGAATGTGGATCAAACGTAGAGTAATGATTATTAATCATAACATTATCATGCGGAGGAATTGTATTGATATCTATCTTTTTTATAATTTTTATACCAGCTTCATGATTTAGGAAAGCAACATCATCCTTTGGAGGAATTGTCTTGATATATATCTCTCTAAGAATTTGTCTACCATCTTCATGAATTGTGATTGGATTTTACTTGCAGGGAAGTAGTATTAAGATTGATATCTAATAAATTTATTCTTTGGTTATTGTTGACATCAACCACAAAGGTAAGTAAGCACATCAACAAATTATTCAAATCTATATATATTCAATTGGAGAATATAACAATTTAGGAGAAAATGAATATAGGAAATTTGACAGGGCAAAGACAAATGATATAACAAATTATATAACTTTTGGTAGAATAAAGAAATTTTAATAGAAGATCTTTTTTTTTTCTATTCTTTTTTTTTTTTAATGTCGGAAGGTTAATTATTTGGTAACACAAAGGTTTAAACTTTTGACTTTGATTCTAAATCAAACTTTTTATGTTAATGGATACCAACTCAGAGAAACCCTTATTGATAGAAGATTTTATTGATTGTCACATGAGAAAGTTCATAATAAAAGGACTTTTGTTTCATATAAAATACTAGATCTGGCTTATTAAGGTTAAAAATAAAACTTTAAATGATTAACTTAATATTGCATAGTTATTGAGAAATCCTTATTGGTAGAAGATTTTATTGATTGTCAAATGAGAAAGTTCATAATAGGACTTTTGTTTAATATAAAATACTAAATCTAGCTTATTAAGGTTGAAAATAAAACTTTAAATGATTAACTTAATATTACATAGTTATTAAATGAAAATTTTTTGGATAAAAAAAAAACTATATTCTAGAGAAATATGCAATAAGACTTATAGAAATTTTACCAGTAAGT